AATGAAATAACAATTTTATATCACATTAAAATAAGTTCAGCCGTTTTCATAAAACTCTATTATGGATCTTAGCGATTTATTGCTTTTAATAATTAGAAACAGTTTGCAGCCGGAACTTTGTTTATTTCATAATAATTATAATAATTGATTAATCATATTATGTTAAAATAGCCATATCGCCAGTTCGAATCGCCTTAAGATTACTAAAACAAAGTTTCTTTTTATTTATTTACTTACACATTTACAGGTAGGTAATTGATACAAAACATGGCCGAATCTAAGAAAAAGTATAGTCAGTGCAGTGTTGAATATTTAAAATTTGGTTTTCTTCCACCAAAGGCAGACAAACGATTGCCCACATGCCTTTTATGCAACAAAGTTTTGAGCAATGACTCTATGAAACCATCAAAGATTGAAGATCATCTAAGAAGGTGTCACATCCTGATAAAATAGGTAAGAAATATTTCCAAACATTAAAGGAAAAATATGAAGAGACCCACCGTGCACAGTATGTTCTCTTCAACGTATGAAAGCAACTATGATGGCTTGCGGATATCTTACAATATCTCATTACTTATCGCAAAATCTGGAAAACCGCACACCATTGGAGAACAGTTAATTTTACCTGCTGTTGAAGAGGTTCTAAAAACTGTTCTGTACAAATCTTCATTTGACATACTCAAAAGAACTCCTTTGAGTAACAACACTGTACAAAGACGTATTGATGAAATGAGCTCTGATGTTGAAAGTTTCTTGTGTGGTTATCTACGAACATCTCATTTTTCTATTCAACTGGACGAGTCAACTTTACCTGGCAATGAAGCATTATTATTGGCATATGTTCGATTTGTTATGGGCGAAGAAATTCATGAAGAGCTACTATTCGCGAAAACTTTGAAGACGGACACTAAAGGTGAATCAATATTTAATGTTTTGAGTGATTTTTTTAAAGAAAAATCGATTCCATTCACAAACGTTATTTCGGTGGCAACAGATGGAGCTCCTGCCATGGTCGGTCGATATCGTGGGTTTATAAGCCATCTTAAAAGAATTATACCAGAGGTAATTGCGATTCACTGTGTTATCCACCGACAACATCTAGTAGCGAAAAATTTGAGTGACAGATTGCATCAATCGCTTCAATTTGTGATTAATGCAGTTAACAAAATAAAAAGCAATGCATTGAATACGCGTTTATTTGCACAATTGTGCGATGAAAATGATGAAGACTTCCAACGATTGCTGTTACATACCGAAGTACGCTGGTTGTCGAAAGGTGCATGTTTATCAAGATTTTATTTACTTTTTGACTCAGTTTTTGGAAAGTAAAAATCCCGATTTAAAAAAAAACTTGATCAATTTTAAAGCAGACTTTTGACAATTTTTTCAAAAAAATTAATGACCTTAACTTACAATTACAAGGGGACAGCCTCAATTTAATAAAAAGAAAGAGTGTAATTTCAGCTTTAATTGGTAAATTGAAATTTATGTAGGAAAATATTAGTTGGCGCGAATTTTCTTCAGTTTTCAAACTTGTCGCAGGTAGAATGTCTTGATCAGGATATTCAGACATACGTTCAACATTTGATTGCCCTGCATGATTTTAAATTCAGATTTGAAGATATTCTGTTGATGGAAATACCACCATGGATCATAAATCCATTTGATGAAACGGAAGTGGAGAATGTGAGAATGAGAGGAGCTACTCAAGCTTAGCACTAATGAGGAGCTGAAAGTGACATTTAAAAGAGAGTATCAAAAAGTTTGGCTGCAGGCAGAAATATCCGAAAAATATCCTGGACTGTGGGGAATTGTGCAAAAGCTTCTGATAGCGTTTCCCTCGTCATATCTCGTCGAAAAAAGTTTTAGTGACGTTACAAACTTATTAACAAAAAAAAAAGAAGCAGATTGAATATCACAGAAAGGGGAGATTTACGGTTGTTCCTTACAAAACTCAAGCCAAATATTGATAATTTGCTGTCAATCCATCAAGTACATCTCTCTCGTTAAAATTATATATATATATTTTTTGTAATTACCATTGTAGAAATTACATTACGTTATAAGTGTTTAATTTTAATTATGTTACGACGGTTACTCGTATAACAATAATATATTTACATATTTAAATTTAAATAAATACCTACAACACAAGGAAATATACTATATTTCTTTTTACCACTCCGAATGGGACATTTTCTAAATAAAATTTGTGAGAATTGATTGGTTCTTGTGCTGTGAGTCACTGTAGATTCCAAAAAGTAAAGTTGGATAGAGTCAATTTTTCGTTTGGCCAACTTTGTTTTTTTGACATCCACTCACACCGCAATCAATTAAAATTTAATTGAAAATTTGTTTAGTTGACTTTATTATCAAATAATTAACCCTATCAAGCAATCAATTCTAACCTTTTTTTTTAAACTGTTAATTCGTCGTAAAAACTTAGCCACAACGCAAGTTTTCATAGATAGATCTAATCTTCACTTTTCGATTTCGAGATTTAGAAATTGGTAGTTTAGATCCAGCAAAATTTTGAAAGTGGTCTATGAAACAAAAGAGTTTGGGAACCTCTGGATTAGACCAACTTTGCTATACCAAATCTCAATCTATTAGTTGTCGAATCATTTTATGTTTCCCATCAATGACTGTTATTCTGCAAGCATCTCTAATGATCCAATAAATGTGATTTGCTGCTAGTGATTGTATGGTAGGGATTTTGAAACCTATTTTATCTACACAATCTACCTGTAATTCTGAAGTAACAGATGTATTGTTTTCCATATCCTATAAAAAAAAAATATATTATACTATAGTGACCCCAAGGAAGCGTGTCAAATGTTCCCGGTATTAAATGCAGTTTATCGTCATGCGGACTTAGGCTAATTTGTTTCTACTCTATGCTAAACACTTTATGTGCATATGACCGAATACATAGTTGGCTTGCTGATTGCACCTGGAAATCTTTTAAGCACTTTTCATAATCATCATATGTAATTTTATTTTTTACAACATTATATTTTACTCCTTTAGACTTTTTTATTACAACTAAATTTTTTAAATCACTAATTTTGTCTTTATTAACTTGCTTATGTTCTAGGCGCAGCTTTTCCTTTTCTTTATCCTCATTACTTATTTGCAACTTGTATGTGTAATTTTTTGTTCTTAGCCCCACAAAATGGGTAATAATTACCAGTTTTGTTTCGTCTTTCATTAAATCAATTACTTTTTTATTTACACACGGTATGTTTTATGGGTTGTTTTCAGCATAATCTGAAGTACCAATAGATAAATCTGCTCTAATAACATCATTATATGCATCTTCGCATTGCATCTCATACGCAAAACTATCGGTATCCATGTACATTAATTTACATCGACCTTAGAAATGTCTAAAATTGCCATGCCAATATACAAAGGCTTATTAAATACAACCTCGCTTTCTTTAGTTCAATAGCCACGAGATTTTCATCTAAAATTGTTCGACTATGAGACCGAACACTTTCAATCAAGGTTTTGGCCCCATAGCGTCCATCACACTGCCTCACCAACTTTACCGTTCTGTGACTTCTTATGTTCTCCATCGTCTTGCCAAATACCGCATTATTCACCAGTTTAAAATGGTTATTTTCAAAGTCATTTGTAGCTGCCGTCCTCAATCGAGTATTTAACTTAGCACTTTATGTATTTTAACTAATTTTAATCCGTTATTTAAAGCTTGTTTTAAATTTCTATAATGCATAATGTATTTTTCTTTACGATAAAGAGTAGTCATTAATTTGGGTAATTTTGAGCCAGGCGGAATGCGGTAATCGGCAGCAAAAGGAAAATCTTTATGTATATCATGCAATTCACGAGGATATTCTAAATCAATTTGAAAAATATAGCCCTTAGATGCATTATCTGGTATGGACATAATATAAAAATAATAATCTCCCTAATTCACCCCCTTACGAGTGAATTTTAACCCCAAAAGCTGAGCTTGTCCCGCGAAAGGGACGGCTATTATTATTTTTTTTTTTTTTTAATTTGGTGTCATCGGCGTCGACTACTACGGCCATTAGCCTCGTGTTCTGTGTAGGCTTTGTTACTGTTTCCCAGCGCCACTTTAGGAACAGCACTGTTAATTAGAACCCAACAGTGAATGGTCGAGTGGGGAATCCTACCAAGGCATCAGAATTAATTTTAAATAATTAAATTAAATGAAAAAATCCCGGCCAACGGTGGGATTCGAACCTGAGACCTTCCGATCTCAAAGTCATGACTCTAACCACTGAGCCAACCCACCCCCCGGCTATTATTATTATTATTATTATTATATGCCGTGGCCTTTAGGAGAGTCAGATCGAGCAACACCAAATTTATTGGCATTCGCCCACTCGAAACATTCGTAGGGCATGGGCTCACTCATTGCCCGGCAGTTTAATGTAAGACGAGCCATTGCCTATTTACCAAATTTATTAATATTGATCTCTGATATAATTTTTTCTCTAACATCATCAACAAACCAACTAAGGGGGCGTCCATTAATTACGTGAGGTGTTCAAGGGGGGGAGGGGATAAAACTAAATCTTTCTAAATCTCACTTGGGGGGAGGGGGGGTTTCTTAAATCTCACGTAATTTGTTTTCTAGTAGAAAACGGTGTAAAATTGCGTGAAAGTAAAGTTAAATTATAGTAAAAGTATCTTATAATTATGTTTATTTACAACCATATATGTAATGTTGTCATTACTAACGTCATTGAAGGTTGGGAAGTATGATTTTAAATAATTGCAACACTCTCAAACACTAGTCTTTACTAGTATTAAATAAAAGTGTTTTTGTTTTTTTTTTTTAATAATCTAACACATTTACACCCAAAACACGAATTTTGAAAAATCTCACGTGAGATTAGGGAAGGGGGGGAGGGAGGGAGCTAAGGAAAATCTTACCAAATCTCGCCAGGGGGGGAGGGGGAGTCAAAAAATCCTCAAAAATACCTCACGTAATTAATGGACGTCCCCTAAGTCAACTGGTCTATAAAAACATTCTTTGTATTAAAATAATGAAAATCCAACACTCCTTCATCCCCACACTTTCTGATAAATTCCCCACAAAAATTAGTATTTACTTTTATAAAATGAAATGAATTGAGGTATGCTTTAATTTTTTGTTTACAAACTAGGTAAGCATCATCCAAAAATTTGTCCAAATCCTTATGACGTAAATTTAATATAATACCAGTCCTAAGTCTACTAGCAAAACTCCAGGTAACATTTTCCCATTTAACCCTATTACGTAATTTGGAATTTGGTCCCAACCCCACATGTCTATTTAAAATTAATTTACGAAAATGTTTAAAATGTCCAATGTTTGTTTGTAATTTCCTTCTTGCTCCAATGGATAAGCTTTTATCTTTAATGCACTTATTACAGGTTTTAACTTGCTTATTTAAAAGTTTTAACCAGATCTCAGCATCTCTAGCAGTAAATTTATCAAAAATAATTTTGCGTAATTTTCTAATCGCTACCAGCAGTTTATCAGAACGTTTAATCACGCTCGACATTTTTTGTGATTTTAATAAAAAAGAATAACAAAAAAATGTTTACCCTCTCTCTGTTTTCTTATTTACACCTAATGCTCGATAATTTCAAAGGAAGCAAGTGGGCTCGGTTTTCTAATGGCAATTTCTCCACAGTTGACTAGCGATCTACATATCTCTGTTACTCTTTGGGGTACTAACTTAAACATTACGGTATTAACGATTTTTCCATTGTTGATTTTGATGGGCTTTCGATTAGATTCATCTGCAAAGAAAAAAATGTCTACTTTGTACTACTCATAAAAATTGTTTCAATTTATTCTCATTAGAAAAACGAATAAAAATTGTGACCATGAAAAACAGAACCATTTGTCAACTTATCCATTAAAAGTTTCAAAACGAATATTAAATTATGATCCTGAAAAAAGAAAAAACAGCCATTTTCCTATCAAATTAAACTAAATTGGATATTCGAAAATGATTTTTAAAAATGAAAAAATTACTTACATTCAATTTTTTATATGAGAAACAAAATTAACTGCCGGGCGTCGCGTTATGAACCTCAGCGTCGAATGTGAAATGCCCCCCTCCCCCCCCCCCCCCCCCAATGCGTATTCGCTTATATACTACCGATATTACATCAAAATGGAGAGCTTTTGTCAGTTGGGCACTCTCCGGAAATACCATTGCAATTGCAGTTAAATTAATCGTTATTCACAATTCCTGGTATTTTTGTATGTGATATACACCATTTGGGCTGGGGACTCCCCTCCGGAAATACCATTGCTGTAGTTAAATTAATCTTTATTCAGAATTCGTGGTATTTTGCATGTGATTAGTAATCTAACATATGCATCTGTTCTAGAAATTTCAATTGCAACGAAGTGTTTAAAATTAGTTATGTGAACATTTGTCTTTCCGGAAATTCCAATTATATACAAAATAATATTTTCTATACATACAATCTGTATGAAAAATTAGGAACGTCTATGCGATTTTTTCCTAAAAATGAATAGGGGTAAATTTCGAGGCTTATGTATTCGGTATTTACTATATCAACTCTATTCTCAGTCAAAATGCCGATCAAGCTAGACGTATTAGTTATTGTAGTATTCACTTTTACGTACGCACAGTGTGTACAAATTTCTCCGAAAAAGATTCTATCGCATACCTAAATCAATATGAAAATGTTGTTGTTAATACTAGCGATATCTTCACCTTCCTGATTAATTTTCAAGAAAAATATAATTTGCCTGTAGATGGGCTTTTAAATAATGCAACAATCAAATTTATGCGCCGACCACGTTGTCAGCATGGTGATACAGAATTTACGGTGGTATTTTCCTCAAGCAACACCTGTAGCTCGGACCGATGCACAAACGGCTTTCCAAATGTGGCAAAATACTTCGACATTAACGTTTGAAATGGTTAATGAATGATTCTCGGATAACTGTGATTTTTTAGGTCCAGTGTTTTATTTATCGTTTAGCATAAGTTTTCCTCATCAAAAAGTTATTAATATTATAAATTTAGAGGTATTTTACAACCAACATTATGAATTAGATCATAAACCTTCGTAATTTTTTTTAAGCTGCATATAAATATACTCGAAATGTCAGTACCATGGCATGTCCGATTCTCATTTTTTAATATAAAATTTATCTCTTATAACTACAATCTAATGCATATTGCATTGAATTTTATTGCAATTTTATACCAATCTTTCGATTGGTAAAAAAAATAATCATTTATATGTCAGTACCGTGGAAATAATGTCAGTACCGTGGAAATAATGTCAGTACCGTGGAAATAATGTCAGTACCGTGGAAATAATGTCAGTACCGTGGAAATAATGTCAGTACCGTGGCATTAAAATTTTTCAATTTTGTCACAGTGTTCGTTGTGTCGTAGCTGTAGTAGAATTACTTTACAGCCTTATTTCTGTGCATAAATAGAAAACAAAAATGCGTAAAACATACGTTTTAACATTTTTAATTTTAGAAAAATGTAAGTTGTAAAAATCGCAGTTACACGAGAATCACCCTACTACCCCTAGTATAACACCTCCTGATATTACTATAACTATGGCTTGCAAAACTCATTATTTTAGAACAAATTGTATGGGTAATGAGGAATGCAGGTTGACCCTTGACGGACGCAGTCTTGCTGGCGGAGCAAGTGCCAATACGAAAACTGCTATCGATGCTAAAAACGCTCGTAAGAATAGGTTTTATCCTTCTCATTGGAGAATCCACACTCATCTTTTTTAGTTTCTCTTGTTCCCTCACCGCTGTTACGTTTTTACTTTGCTGGGCCTACATTAAAGAATATGTTTCATCCTCCTCATCACAGAATCCACATCCACATTCATCTTTTAGTTTCTCTCGTTCCCTCACCGCTGTTACGTTTTTACTTTGCTGGGCCTACATGTAAGAATAGGTTTCATCCTCCTCATCGCAGAATCAACACTCATCTTTTAGTATCGTTCTCATTGCAGAATCAACACTTTTAGTTTCTCCCATTGGCTCACTGATGTTATGTTTTTACTTTGTTGGGCCTACATTTAAGAATATGTTTCATCCTCCTCATCGCTAAATCCACACTCATCTTTTAGTTTCTCTCGTTCCCTCACTGCTGTTACGTTTTGCTGGGCTTACATGTAAGAATAGGTTTCATCCTCCTCATCGCCGAATCAACACTCATCTTTTAGTATCGTTCTCATCGCAGAATCAACACTTTTAGTTTCTCCTATTGGCTCACCGATGTTGTTTTACTTTGTTGGGTGTACATTTAAGAATATGTTTCATCCTCCTCGTCGCAGAATCTACACTCAATATTTAGTTTCTCTCGTTCCCTCACAGCTGTTGTTACTTTGTTGGGCCTACATTTAAGAATAGGTCATCCTCATCGTAGAATCCACACTTTTTGATTTAAGACGTTCGCCTAAATATAATTTACTTTGTTGAACCTACATATGGGTACAGGTTTCATCCTCGTCCGTCTATCCTTTTATTTGTCTGTCCATCTGACATTAATTTGTTCGCTATGCCTGGCCAAGTCATAACGCACGAATCGTTTCTCTCTCTCTTTCTTTCTCGCTCTCTCTCTCTCTCTCTCTCTCTCTCTCTCTCTCTCTCTCTCTCTCTCTCTCTCTCTCTCTCTAACACATTAATTTCCCTGTCCTTTCTCTCTCTCTAACACATTAATTTCCCTGTCCTTTCTCTGTCTCTAACACATTGATTTCCCTATCCCCTCTCTCTCTAACAAATTGATTTACCTATACCTCTAGTGATTCCTATATAGTTCATCTACTGTATCCGTCCTTCATTTATTTTTTTAATTAAAATTTTATATTTATTTTGTGCGGGGCACCCCAAAAAATTTTTCGCCTCTGGTGGGGGGCCTCCGGCGGGGTTTTCACATTTGTTAAAAATCTGGCACTACCATCTCGTATTATCACGAGCCGCCACTGAGTGCTGCTAATGAGTTATTAGGCATTCCAAACAAATGAATTGCCAGTGGGAAGGTTTGGTATATCTAAGGATTGAGACATGATGTATTCTATCTACTATACGTAAACTCATGAATATAATAGATTACATTTAAATATTTTATGTCAAACGTAATAAAAATAATATTTAAAAAACCTGCTGATACCTATTGTTTGACAGATCGTTGGAATGCCTAATTATCAACTGAAAGATTCAATAATTTATACTTTAACCAAAGCATGCAATCTGTTACCAAGAGAGATTAGGCTTATCACTAAACTTAAAAGTTTTTCTGCTCAAACCACAAAATTCATTTTTGAAAATTACATTGATTTTATTAAAATCTTAGAATAAAAAAAATAATTAAATTTATATTTATCGTATTAAATATTAAATTTGTGTTAAAAATGTATGGAGTTGAATAACACAAGTGTTCAATTAATCACATGCACAACCCTGTACTTTTTTTATTAACATTATCATTTGAAATTATATTATTAATAATAGTTGTATAATTGTATTACTGTAAACTAATAATAATTGTTTTTTTTTTTTTAATCCGTAAATAAATAAGTACATTGTGTGAAGTCATGTCATTATCATTAGAGCAACCTCCTTGATGTAAATATCAAGGGAAGTGAGACTAAGAAGGACTTCCACGGCTCTCGTTGGAGTGGTTTTCATGGCCCCTGTTATGTTGAGACATGCGATGTTCTTTGAACTTGTTCTAGTTTGTGGGTAGCTGTTAATTGTTGGGTTTTTGATACCCAGACAACTGTATCGTATGTTAACTTGGGTCTTATGATGGCTGTGTAAGTTCATATGAGTTCATAAGTAGTGTATGCTTTTTTGACTCTGTTTGTTAGGCGTGAATTCAATGCCTATGATAACTTGCTGTCAAAGGTGAGACTTATAGCATCTTCGAATCTAGTGCATGGCTTGCACTGAGTGCATACGAAAGGTGGAAGATATGTCAATACCAGTTACTTTTCAATCTGAAATGTAACCGGTATCGATATATCGCTCATCTTTTATGTGCACTCCACGCAGGCAGGGCAGTGGAATGGAAGACGCTATTAAGTACTTCACTTCTGGAAAGTTTAGTTTTGTGTTTATTTCCATATTCATCCTTTTTCTTGTGAAAAGAACAATTTCTGTCTTCTTGGGATTGATAGACAGTGAATGGTCCTTACATCACAGTTGTATAATTTTGAGAAGAATGTTCTCAAAATTCTTTGCAGAATGACCACGTGATCAGCATTGCATTGTATAGAAACTGTAATTATTCTATAATAAGTACAACGTTCCTAAATCGTCATTCAAACAAGGGGACAAAACTTTGAAACTAGTCTAATGTATGTTTTGGAATTATTATAAATTTGTTATACATAATTTTTTATAAATAAAGTACACTGCTGATGCAATAAAATGATTAATATATATAAATAGTACTTTAAAATAATGATATATAAAATTGGCACAAATAATATATTCACTCCAATCGAAGGAGTAATTTGCAAATTTATAGAAAACTTTCAAAATTTTAAAAACACCACATTAAGCCATTTGAGAGTTATTGAAAATATATTTTATGCACATTGTTTCTCAAAAACTACTGACATTACTCATTTTGTCTTACATAATTTTAGGAGTACTATTTCTAGTAAAGTGTTACGAGACATATTTTAGAATAATTGATAAAAATAAGGATAAAATATTTACCACATCTCCTAATTCTATCTCGTCCCAGGAAGGTGTAGCTTTTTGCATATAATTTATTGATGATAACATTATACTTGAAGCTTTTAGGAAATCATTTAAGTCTTTATTATTAATTATCCTATCTCTGAAAGGTTCCAACTCGGACGATGGTGCATTGAGATCTTCAAGATTGATTTTAGATATCACACATCTAACACTGCTTGTAGAATCATCAACTAAAATTAATTTAAAAACCAATTATACAATAACCGCCAAAAAGTTTGCATCATATGAAAAACTTTTATTTGTTGATTAAAACAGTATTCTTGATAAAAATTTGTGTATGATCCAAAATCCAAAATCTATCAGTCGTTTTAAAATAGAAGACTGTAAGTTATAATTTGATTATTTTTTTTTTACAATGTGGGTATTGGCACCTAGATTTAGGACACATGTATGTGCAAGGGCATAATATTCATTTATAGTTATACAGTTATATAGAAATTAGATAAAGAAAAGAAGACAAACACTCAATTACAACACTGCCATCAAAGAGAGATCTTGACCACAATAAAGATATTAAAAGGTATAACCACAGATAAATGTCGCCTCCAAGGTGCCAAACAAAAAATATATCTAAATTATGATATTCCCATAAACAAACGTAGGCTGCTTAAGAAAGTCAGAGATTTTAAAAATGAAAATGGCTTCAAGGCTGCCTTTTGCCTTAATGGGAACATATTTTTGAAGAAAAAAAAAAATGGATCCTACGATAAAATAAGATGAGAAGATGACTTGCAATAAATGTATAATTTTATAAAAGTATACATATAAAAAATTTCTCAGTAACATTCACTAACGTTAATGATATTTTAAATGACTTCAAAACATGTGAGACAATAATATAAGAATCATCTACAAAAATTTTGACCAATTCCTTCTTTTCCTAGAAGCATCTGGTAGGCATTTTAATGTAATTGTTATGTCTCAGACACAAGTAATTTATAATATGACAGATTTTAACATACCAAGTTACAAACTATGTTGGAATAATGGTACACTAAATAAATTCGATGGTTGTATTGCATACATTACAGAAGACTCCTATCATGATCATCAAATAGGTATGAATAATAATGTGAAAATGGTCAAAGCTTCAATATCCAAGGATTCTATTCATCTAGATATTCTGGCCAACTACAGATCTCATGCCATAGACAAGGATGATTTCATTGATAACGTTAACCTAATCTTGCAGGAATCATTAGTGGACCAAAATCGTATGCACATAATCGTGGGAGATATTAATATCGACTTGCTTGACTTAAACTCAACATCAACAAACAATTACCTTACAATGCTTCATAGTTATGGATTCGTTAGCAAGATTAATAAAGCAACAAGAGTAACTGAAGATACAGCTACATGCATCGACCATTACTTCGTTAAGTGTACAAATAAGGAACTGGAGATGATGAATCCTGTAATACTAGTGAACGATCTCACTGATTATTATCCCATTCTGCTTAATATTAAAACTCAACAAAAAATATAGTAACTCAAAATAACCTCCCATATGAAACCATAGACAATAACAAGTTATTCAAAATTTTCAAAAGAGCAGAATGGGATGGTGTTCTTGCGCAAAATGATATTAATGTAAGTACTAACATATTTGCAGATAAACTTATAAGTTTTGTAACGCAATGTACTAAAAGGAACTATTTTAATAATAAAAATAAAAGACCAAAAGCATGGATCACAGGTGGCCTCTTAAATTCAATTCGAAACAGAGATAAATTAAAAAACAATGTACTCTTAATAGAAATAACTTAGAACTTTTAAATAAATACAAAGAATATAGAAAAACACTTTCTAATCTAATCAAAAAAGCTAAATATACCCATTATAAAAATCTAACATTAAAACATGGGAATGATCCCAAAAAAAAAAACAAAATTAATAATAATAATAATAATAATAATGAAGAAGTCTTTGACAAGAAAGATATAGTCAATGAATTCAACATTTATTTTAATAAAATTGGTAAATCAATAGCCAAAAAAATATAGTTTAAAAAACTAAAAAACACGCTTTTAGAGCATATCAAACTAAACAGTTAAAAATAATTTTTTAAATAAGCTTAAAACAATAATAAATGGAAAATACTAGTATTATTGTGAAAAAAGCGTCGGGCGCTCGATGTACGAGAAATATGAACAAAGCGCCCCACGCCCTTTTTAGTTTGATATGCTCTAAAAGCGTGTTTTTTAGTTTTTTTAAACTATATTTATTTTTTACTTTTTAGTTCGATTAATAATTAAAAAAAAAAAAAATTGTAAGTTGAAATTGCTGAAAAAAGAAAAATAATTTTTTTTTTTTTTAGGCGTGGACGGGATTAGAACCCACGATCGGTGAGTCTGGCGATCGAAAACCCGCGTCTTAGACCGCTCGGCCAACGAACGAACTTGAGGTATATGACAGTAATAAGCCACTTGATTTTATAGTCCAAAGAAGAGTTACTAACATACATACAAGTGAAGCTAATATAAGCGTGTTAAAAATAGTACATTGCGATATTGAGAACAAGGTTAAATCAACTCGGAACTCTTTCTATTTCACTCCAATATCTGACAATGAACTCATATTACAAATTAATAAAGAGCCTGAAAAATAATGTAAAAGGTGGCCAGGATAATATTAGTGCTAACATAATTAAAAATGCCCATGCTCATTTGTCGAGTCAATTAAAACATATTATAAATAACATCTTTAGCTCAGGAATTTTCCCTGATAGACTTAAAAGTGTCATAATTGTTCCATTATACAAACAAGGTGATAAAAAAAATCACAATCATTATAGACCTATTGCTTTAACAAGCACCATTAGTAAAATGATAGAAAAATGTATTAGGCTTAAGTTGTTGCCATTTATAAACAAGTATAATTTAATCAATGAAAATCAATATGGCTTTAGGGATGGTTCCTGTACTGAAGATGCATTGTGCAAGGTATCTAGTGAAATTTTTCAGGGGAATAAGATGATTGGTATATTTCTAGACTTGGCTAAAGCCTTTGACACTGTGGCACACCAAATGCTACTAGATAGGTTACATCACATTGGTATAAGGAGTATAGCTAACAATTTAATTAAATCATACTTAAGTGGTAGATCCCAATGTGTTAGATTTCAAAAAGAGTTAAGTGAGGAACTTATAGTGGAGTTTGGTGTGCCACAGGGCACAGTGCTGGCACCATTGCTATTTAATATATATGTACATGGTATCTTGTCCACTATCAATAAGGGGAATGTCTACTGTATTACCGATGACACGGCTGTCATAATAAGCGGGCAGGATTGACCGATAATGGTAAAAAAGGCAGAGATGGCCATGTTTAAACTAAAAAAATGGTTGGATAGTAGTCTACTATTCCTAAATATTGATAAAACAGTCAAGCGGATTGAAATCGTTTCAGACGGGGCCTATGATAGTTATTTTCTATCCCATACAATTTTTTTCGTTTTTCAGGATCCTCTATCCGTCCATGTTGGTTCGAAATTAAAGCGTGCACATGATCACTATAGGCTAATTTTATTAGTCTATCAAAATTCATAATATGGCGAATCAATGAATTTCATATATTGAATTATTTTTATTAATAACACTAAAGCTCAACAATAGCTAAGTACTAAACAAAATTAAAAAAAAAAAAAAAAAAGAAAAACGGTTCACAAACAAGAGAAAATGGTACTGAATCATTTTCTTTGCCTATTTATACACAGGGTGACCCGAAATTAGACAGTCATATTTTAACAGCATAATGTACATCCTAAAATAGGAGTAAAAGTTCATATAAATCTAGGCCCGAAAACGTTTCGTTTCCGAGATACTGGGTGTTAAAAGTGTGAAGTCCTGTTGACACATTTTTTTTTCGAAAAAATAAAAATTCTTTGCATATTATGGAGTATTTTTCACCCGAATATACAAATTTAGCATTTAGCTAGAGAGGGATTGGGTATTTATTTACTTGAGGAATTGGGTATTTATTTACTTGAGGGTATTGGTATTTCCACAAATAAAGTACCTACACTGCAATAAAAGGTTTTAAAATTCCCAGCAATTTCTTCAAAATAATCTACCTAATGATTACGAAATATTTAGATTTTAGAGTGTAATTTTAATTCAGTCTAAGGATATATTTTTGCAAGAGTATCGTAGATATTCTGCTAATGAAGTCTTGTAATTATTTATATTGTATAAATGGTCTTTAAAATGGTCAAGAATCTCTTTGTAGATTAAAAATATTCCAGAGTTGCAGTTCAAGGGTGATAAAGTGTTTTGCAAAGCTTGCGCCAAAATGGTTGTTGGTGAAAAAAAGTTTAAAGTGGTTCAACAGTGAAAACATCATTCCATAAAGCCAAATTTCAAAATATTAAATCACAGCCAGTTCAATAATGTATTACTTCAAAACGTAAATAAAACAAATAGTGACAAGGAGATTTTTAATCAGAACTTATGCAAAGCTCTTGTTGCGGCAAATATTCCCTTAAAAAAGTTACAAAATTATGTCTAAAGAGGATTTTTACAAAAGTATTGCAATCACACTTTTCTTGACGAATCTACACTAAAAAGAAATATATGTGCATTATATACAAATGTAATAGAAGAGATTAAAGTTTTACTGCAAGATGAAAATAGGAAACTAATCCCACAATGGCTACTACCCCTCAACATAAAAAAGTGTACAGTATTGCACATTGGCTCAAATAATAATACACCATAGACACAAACAATAACTCCAGGAGTGCGTTTAGAAACCTCACACGGCGCGTCTGACCACATACATTAGAATAGGATCCAGATGTGTTGTGCGTTGTTTCTAAATGCACTCCAGTCGAAACACAAAGCCTTAAAAAAGTATACCCATATACAATGTCAATACCCAGTAGGTATCACAGTTCTAGTACTTTTTAGGCTATCACTTATAATATATTTCTAGATATGTATTTGTATAGGTACCTTGAATAAAATAATTATCCTCATTATAATTTTTTTGTATAACAACTCCACACAAAAACACTCTTCTAAATTTTATATTATTAAGTATAAAATAACCATTGCATTCTTTGGCTTTTAATAAATCTCTTATTAAAAAAACTGCATCCTTTTTAATATCATCAACTTTTTCTAATTCATTTTCCACCTCTTCTGTACTATCCTCCGATTCATGTGAGTTTATTAATAACCAATCTGAAAGTTAATTACAAAAGATAAGTAAATCAATATTATAAAAAATAAAATGTACCAACCTCTTGTTTTATCGTACATACGTGTTTCATCTTCATCGCATGTTGCTACTTTAACCATTCCATTGTGATTTTTAGTAATAACCCATTCTACAATACAAAAATATGTAAGCTCAATGACACCACATTTTTACAAGAAGTTTACGTTCTGAATCAAAAAGTGCCGAAATTCGATTCAATGGTGATTCATCAATTAAATTATTCTCTTCGTCCGAAGACATCAATGGTGATTCATCAATTAAATTATTCTCTTCGTACGAAGACATTTTACAAATTTTAATTAAATATAATTCTTCCTCAGCAGTCCATGATGATGAATAATAAAAAAAATAACTTACTCCATGGAGGAAGGACAATTAACTTACTCTTTGCAGTTTGCCGCACAGAACACTTACTCGTTTGCACAATCTCGTTTGCCGCCCAGAAACACGAAGCACGTATAAAACAAAACTATTCGATTCTAGCGTGCGCATTCGATTCTAAAAAACTAATCGAAATCGAAATCGACCCAACAGATCACAGACTATATTGTTATAGACAGTACACCAGTTACATACTTTTCAAAGTATTGCTGCGTTTGAGAATCCACATCGGATGCATCTGAGATGTAAAAAATCTTTGATCACGTGATGCAGTATACGTAAATGTAATGGGACAGACCAATGAACTGGAGTGGGGTAGAATGCTTGTCAATAGGCTTGAGATGCGACTCTATGGGCGAAGACAGGTTATTTTTCATCTCACTCGGGAGTATTTATAACGACCATTTTCTATTTCACTTTGTTATTGTCTGATCCACCAGCCTGTGGATTGAACAATAACAATGTGAAACAGAAAATGGTTATTATAAATACTCCCGAGTGAGATGAGAAATAAAAATGGCTGCGCCCATAGAGTCGCATCTTGTTCAATTGATAAAATATGCACATTAGCTTTCTACCCCACTCCAGTTCATTGGGACAGACGTGTCCGATGTGGATAAAAAAACGCTCGAGATGTAAAAAATGCATCCGATGTGGATTCTCAAACGCAGCATTAGTGACACCAGTCACATCACATACTTTGATTTTCTTTTACTATACGGAGAATGGTCGCACTGCGCAGCTTTCTGAGTGCCTTTTAAAAGGAGATAGAAAAATGCGCCATTTTGAACCCTTATTACGTGTTGCCTACATCTTGGCGCAATATTTTTAATAGGTGCGTTTTAGGACCGATTCCACCGTTGGTTAAACGAAGTTTAAAATGACATTTTTACATTAACAACGTCATTTTAATCTCCGTTTAACACAACGGTGGAATCGGTCCTTAATCATCCGCTTCTGCTTCGGAATTGTCGGTTTTCTTGTTTTAATCTGACAGGTTAAAACGACTAAACCGACAATTCCGGAAGCAGAAGCGGATGATTAAAACGCACCTGGGCTGGAACTCTGTGTCATGTAGAATTCTACTTATCGCTTTCTACAATGGAATCGATTACTTTCTTTTGTGATAAATACGTTATCAACCGCACGGGAAATATCGCAATGTGGTTTCTTATGAAACTAGTTATCCTGTAGTAAGTATATACTCGTTGGTTTACCGCTATGTTACACAGAGTGCCACAAAAGAATCTATTGTAGAAAGCGATAAGTAGAATTCTACATGACACAGAGTTCCAGCCCTGATATTTTACTTCCTGCTGTTAGTGTCAGTGAATATTATTTTTGAAGTCACAGTTTATTGCTAAAGAATCAGTTAGCTCACTCGGACCAGTTGAAAGTTCCAAAATAACATCCACTTCAGGGATGCAAATTCAGGATGCGCAGAAGACTGCTGTTTTATTATAGGCGGTTGTCATATATTGTATTATCCGAGTTGCACAGTGTACAAACTGAAACATTGAGATCCAAAGTGCCGACGCAGAGTAAGCGATCTGATTCTTTAGCTGTAAACTGTGTCACAGGGTTCAAAATGGCCGCGCCCTATGTTGGGCGTGTCGGACCTCTCTATTGCCTCGTATAGTAATCAAAAGGTCTTTTCCTTTGCATCGAAAGTGTAGCACTGAGCTACACCACTTCTGAAAATATCGTTCCATTTATACAAATTGTATGGATGGAACGACATTTTCAGAAGTAACGTAGCTCAGTGTTACACTGTCGATGCAAAGGAAAAGACCTAAAGTATGTGAGTCACATACTCGATTTGATTCTATTGTAGACATATACAGGTTGCACCCTCTTAGGTAAATATTACGATGAGTATAGAGGTGATGAACAACGGAAGTAACAAACAGCGCCAATTTGCCAGTTGATTACCTTACTATGTTGATTTCACATAAACTTTGTTTCAAACCTAGTAGAACGGGTTGCTTAGCGTATAGGTGTCCCCCCTTGAGCTAACGAACAGCGTATTCGCCAGTTGGTTAACTTACTATTAAATTTTACCATCTTGGTTTGTACAATTTATCCAAGATAGCACAACCCTGCTGTATATTTCCAAAATATTGATTTTTATAATTTCTATTGATATGACTTAATACAAAACCCTGTATGTATTTTAATATTGATTATTATAATTTCTATTGAAGTAACTTAATTCAACACTGTATATTTCTTTATATTGATTTTTATAATTTCTATTAAAATACTCAAAATTTCATCTATCCAAAACAGATGTCTATCCTGTCTTTCGGGGTGTATGACCTGAAGGCCATGTGGTTTATTGATAATATTTTACAGCAAATGTCAAGCCTGCCCTTAAACGAAACCCGGGTGATACCTCAAAGAAAGGTACATAAATCTTTTGACTCACCACTGAAAATACAGACATTAGATTATGTACTAATTTCATCTAGCGTTGTGCCGGCGTCGATTTAGGGACGTCGTAACGTTAAGCGTCGAGGCGTCTAGCGTCGTGATGGAAGGGAAGGTATTTAATACGGTACTGTATTGGGACAGATATACGGTAGAATTATGTAGGTGGTGCGGGACGTGATATGAAGGAAATATTTATGGACGGCAAGCGTCGGAAATAAGGCGTGAGACGTTGAGACGTTGAGCGTCGAAATGAGTGTAACGGTAGGAAATACTTAGATGGTGAGGAATGTGACAGCATTCGAGACGTAGGGAATAGGATGGCAGGACGTTGGACGTCGAGACGGTGACACCTTCGGAGATAGGAGGTATTGTAGGATAGACGTCGTTTAGGAAGAGCGTTTTAGGAAAGGTTCTGATTACTGAACTTGAAATATAACTGGATACAAATAATAAATGAATGTTTGCACATCAAATAATTGAAAATGAATGCACGCACATCAAATAATTAAAATTGAATGACTATGAGCTCCTTTTCGTCAGACTTTTTATACATAGTTTAATCGTTTCTGTGACGTCTCTATCGTTTTGTTTCTCATAGAAAATACGAATGTAGGTGCAAAAAGGGGGTGGGTTATTTTATTACTTGTTTTGAAATCTTTGTGTATTGAAATATTGTCGAAATCGGCCTAGAAATCGAAACTAAAAATATAAGCGAGTTAAGTGTTTTAATGATAATTACTTCGTAAACAGAAATATGCTTTATGGTGTTTTCTTTGGGCTGGTTCTCAGAGACACGTGGATATATTTTGGATTTTTACGGACGTGATTATAGCTATTATTTATTAGGTGTCGTAAATAAGATTTAATTATCTGGGAGATTTTTCGTTAAATGAAGCATTTTGATATTTAATAAGAATGTAATATTGTATTTAATAAATTAAATTAATAAATTATTAAGGTACCTGGGTGCGGTAGGTTACAGCAAGAAGACGTATTTTATCATTAAAATAATGTAACAACCTGGAACCCGGAACACTTATACTTTACAATCATGACTGAATGTTTATCCATTATCTCAAATGTAATGTGGTCACATTAATCCTTCCTCCATGTGGTCACTGATCAATGTATGCCGAAACTAATCGCGAATTAACTTTATGCTGTGGTATTAATTTTGTGTTTATTTCCATTTCATTATTGACTTTCTGCTTTATTTCTATTTTATTATTTAACTATCAGTTCAAAAACACACAAACAACTCACAAAATTCATAAAAATAATAAAGAAATAAATATTTGTGGTTATGTAGGTATCAAGTAGGCAGTGTTGTCACGGTCAAATGCAATAGTGATGATGAAAATATTTTTAAAAAAATACTTGTGGCACTCGGGGACTGCCGCGGTAATGCTATTGCATAGCATTTTTTATCAACTCATGCAATTTTATTATAATTATTTATTTATTTATTTTATTTATGCAGTATTTTTTTTCTTTGAATTCAAGTTTTTTCTTTGATATTAATTCAAGTTACACTTTTTGAGCGTGGTGACCGATAAGAAAACAATTTTTTTTCTTTTATTGAATAAATGAGAAGTTAATATTGGGTCCTATGATTGAACGTTTACGTTATCCGTAACGTACATGTTAGGCCGAGTTTTAACAGTAATGAGGCAAGTTCGTATAATGGAAAACTTTTTCCAACACGTAACTGTTATTTTCCGCCTGTTATCTTCTAATTTAACAGTTTTCCATCATCCGAACTTGCCTCGTTACTTTTAAAATTCGGCCTAACATGTACGTTACGGATAACGTAAACGTTCAATCATAGGACCCATCACAAAGCATGTATCTTCTAGAGACCCCACGCCAATGTTAAACTTTTAAACCAAATTAGCGACACCTTGTGTTTGGAGCTGGAACTAAAATGACAATTGACAGATGGCGGTAAATTCAAATTGTAATTTTTAGGAGTAGGTAGTAGTTTTAAATTAAATTTTAAATGATTTCCACATAAATTATTTTATAAAATAAAGTATGGAACTAGTAAGTTCGAAACTTTTATTTTACAAAATAATTTAGGTCGATTATACCAAATTTGAAGAATTAATTTGTTATAAAGGGTCTAATGTGGAGAGTTGGTTCTGCATATTTTTATTAAATAAATATAAGATATATCAATAAATAATAAAATAGAACATTCTTAAAATATGTTTATTAATAACTTAAATAAATATTATTAGATAAAAATAAATACAAATAATAATACATATTTAACGAATACTTACTTGGAGCAAATAGATATATAATCTCAAATCTTTAAAATACCTATCAATAATTTAAATGTGAAGTAGAGACTAGGATATTACATTTTATTAGCACTGAAGTTATATATTTTATAAATGTCTTTTTAACTGAGGACAAATGTAATATAGGTATTGTATTAAAAGGTGAATCCTTTTAACTATTCATTCAATGATAAATAGGTATTTTCCTTCCAAATACAGATGGTGGTATTAATCTCTTATGTGAAAAATGATTTCGGAATCTAGTCCAGTGATAAATTGATTATCAATTAGTTGTTGTCCCCGTTTGTCTTTATGATGCAGATGCATGGTGAATATATGGTGAATCAATGAAGTTTTTCTCGAAGTTTTCAACGTAGCACCAAAATTATTGCAAAACACAGTAGGAAATAAAAAAGCGAAACATCACAATTTTGCAAATAACTAAGACGAAACTATAAACAGAAACCAAAAGCCAAAACAACAAAAAATCACTAAAATCAGACGGAAAAATGAAACTAACCAAGAACATAAATAAATACACGTCACATCTTTGGAGTCTTTGGTTAAGTTTTTCTCCCACAAGGCTTAAAAATGGAGTAAGAAATCATAATTTCACCAGTAGTCCCATCTAGAGTTTGGAGCAAATAGCATAAAAAATGTCAGTTGTCGGTTTTGACCTTGGTCATTCACGTGGAACCTCTATGTGCTTTGTGGGACCCATTGTTTAAAATATTTTTATTATCTTACAATACATATGTAGGTTATTCAGGAATGTTTATCATTGAAACTATAGGTTTATGGTAACTGAAATAAGAAACATAAGTTTGAGACTTGATATCCTCTAAATATCTGGAAAATACCGCGTCAATGGTGGTCCCAAATTTTGTTGTGGATTGTTGTGGATCATTATTCATTTTAAAATTCATTTTTTCCGAAATTGTGTCTAAAAGAGATAGAATCAGTTATGAGCAGTTAGCAGCTAGTCTACATGCATACATCTAGTCGCACGCACACAAACATCGTGCCGAAGTCTGCCGAACTGAAACGACGTTAGACGATGCAGGGCTTTCAACGCCGCACCGCTGTGCCGGTCGGAGTGGGGGGTGTTAGGTTAGGTTTTCGTTACGGAATTTATTTTTCGATTTTTCGTTTTTTCGATTTTTCTTGTCTTGTTCGACTAGGGCATTCAGGTAAACCAATCAATATCTGTTATTTTCGAGGCAGATAACAAAAGAGACCATATATTAAAAAGAACAGAAGAAGAAAGCCTAAATTCTTTAACATAACCTAAAATTGGATTTCAAAATCTTACTCAAATAACTCAAATCAAATCCGAATTTAATCAATCTTTTACGATGTTTTTATGTTAAAAACCATCAAATTGAAATATATATGTATATATAAATGATGATTTAGAAAAAATAAAAAAAAAAAAATGTATTCTAGAAGACTCAACAATCTTTGTTGTACCATAATTAATAATAAGAAATATTTACACACAAGTACAAAATTAAATAAACGTGAACATCCACTTTGGAGGACTATAAGGATATTAGGCGAAGATTTACAGTTTAAGAAGCGCCTTTCACCTGTTACAAGTGAAGATTATGCTTTAGCTATTTCTAGAGAATTTCCCAGACATGCGGATATTGTAATTGTAGGTGGAGGTGCGATCGGTAGCTCTATTGCATATTGGATAAAGACAAAATCTAATTTTGATGGTGTTAAAGTAGTCGTTTTAGACAAGGATCCTACGGTAAGAATGAAATCCTGTTATTTTAGAATGTTATAAAATGCCATTCTAAGAATAAAAGTCATATCTGCATATTGCTTTGTACACCGTTCACCTTTAGTGCCTCATAGTTTTAATGTATAAAGTCATCTGCAGCAGAAAGACATGTTTTATATTCAAAACTATTTGTCATATATCTACAAACTTTGCTATTTTAAATGGAATTGTCCTTTCTAAAATATATAGTAGGGATAGAACGATACCAATATTGATATCGGTATAGGCAAGATAATTGCCAATGTAAAAAAAAATGTTTTGCGCTTTTCATTCTTTTCAGTGCATAAATGAAATACTTTGTTTTTTTTTATTCCAAAGGTAACATTTTTACTAAAAAAGTAAAACAAAATAATCAGCAACCGTTTTCTTTCTACCAGCGCTCGTTTCCTCTTCCATTTTATTTGAACTCTTCATTTAAATATAATATTTTTATTTATTTATTTTATCTCCTCTAATTAACAGTCAAGTTTAAAATGCCCTGTTTTACTTTTTAAAGCACTACAAAATATAAGAGGCTACCCCTGAAATCCGAAATATCACTCACTACCAATCACAAACGTTTCTTTGCATACGATACGATATATCGGTACATCGACACTTAAATGTCGGTATCGGCCGATATATCGTATCGGCAAAAAAGTGATATCGTTCTATCACTAATGTATAGTAATTAAGGTAGGAACACCAGTAATCGACACTTTAAAATTCAAACTCTCCTAATTATGGCATGTGTTCAGATTTGTACAAAGTACGAAAGTCTAATGTCTGGCAAACACTGTAAAAGTCCTCGAAGATCAGTTTTAGTTAAGAGGCAAAAAACACGTGTTGAGCACGTAAATTTCTTTTTTGTTAAGAAATTTAAGACAAGTACATTACAAAATAGGTTGTTGCTTTTTATATAGTTAAGATATGTGAATAAAATTTTGTGTAATGTTTTTGGTAAAATTCCATTGCTTACTTTGATTCAAATCTAACACATCCATACTCCAAGTACAAAAAAATCCACCAAAACCAAATAAACCAGAATTCCGGAGATGTAACAAGAAAAAATTCTGCTTCCAAATAGTTTAAATCTCTAGTTTTAAATCTAAGTATATTAGTCTAAAGTCTACTAAGTTTAAGGTATTAATTTTTTTACAATCTTAAACATAGTTTTAACGTTTTTTTTTTCAGCACTTTAACCCTTTCAGTCACGCATTTTTTCTAGCCATAGGAAAAATCTGATTTTTGGCACTATAAAAGAATGATTTTTTTATTGATTTTTGGTAAAAAGAAAAAAAAATATATATTACAGGTTTCCGAGTTATAGCATGTATTCAATTGAATACATTGTGACTTAAAGGTATAAGAGGTTGGTGCAAAAAATACTGTTTTTTTTTTTAGATTTTATTTTATATCACATTTATTTGACATGGAAACTCAGAAAACAGTTTTTTTCCTTATTTAAACATAAGTGTACTTGGCATTTAATACAAATTACTCGAGTTTGTCCCTTACAATCTAGATTTTTACATCTAGATGCAAATTTTTTAGAATCAAAATTGGGAAAATGACCAAGTTGGTCAAACTGAATTTCCGAAACTGGTCTTATTTCGGTAGCTCTAGAAGTCGATGGAGAGGGGGGAGCGGGACTTGGTGGGTTGGAGGTAGCAGATGATGGACGTCCCTTTTTCCTTGCTGGTGTTTTATTGGCTTTTATTAGTACTTCTGCAACGTAAGCCCTAAAACCAAGAAGATCCAGAACATCTTTTTTAGAAATACTCTTTGTACTCCAGCCAAGCATTTGCACAGGCGATATCTATTGCATGAGTAAACATACGCATAGTCCATTTTCGTGATCTTATAAACGTCCGGTATAATGTGATAAGAAAATCTAATTTATCGACTCCGCCCATGCAATCGTTATATTCTTTTACCACTTCCGGTCGTGGAACATCTTTATATTGTTTCTCTGATTTGTCCCAACGTACGCAGGTACGCAGGTATCTGGCATTCCCACACCTCTATAATTTGAAGCAAGTATCACGCTTTTGTTGTCAAACCATTTAGTCATAATTATACCATCTTTGCTTATGACTTCCTCAAAAGAACCGCGCCTCTTTTTTTTCATAATATTATCAAATGAAAATGGTGGAGACTTAAATCTGTCAATACGAGCGGTACAATAGGCATATATAGATTTGTTTCTTAAATATTGTAATACGTTATAATTGCTGAAGAAATTGTCAAAATATAAACGAACATTGGGATTGATGATACGCTGTGCCAATGTCGTCACAATTGCACCAGATGAACCAAAAACTTCGATGTGCTCGGGAATAAATTCTGTCGTTACATCTTGGTAAATTACAAAATCGTACTATATTCCACTTCGTCCACATAGGGCTAGTAGCTTTATACCCCATTTGGTGGGCTTATTTTTGATATATTGTTTTATATTTAGGCTTCCTTTGAAGGGAATCATCTGCTCATCGATACAGAGATCAGTTTCTAAAGGTAGGGAAAGGCATCTCTGTCTAATAGCATCATACAATGGCCTTATCTTCCATAATCTGTCATTGTTGTCTGGTTTTTCCTCAACATTCACAAAATGAGTATGCTGTCGTAATTTGAAAAAACTGTTTATAGGCATAGAGTTTGAAATTATAGGAATGCTGCAATTTGGTTGCCAGTAACATCTTATTCTTGGAAAATGACAATTACCCATTACTATGTGTATCCCTACAAAAGTTTTGATTTCATCTATATTTGTGGGAGCAAATTTAGTTTGTTGCTGAAGCGCAAATACATTTGTGTTTTCAATAATAAGTGAAAATAAAGCATCAGAAAAATATTTTTCAAAAAAATAATAAGGACTTTCTAGTTCATCCGAATCACATGGAATATTTTTTTCATACCAATCGACATTTGGAGAAATATAAGTAGCATCCTTTATCCAAATTATATCTGTCTTTTTCGTCAAATTATTGTTTTTCATAAAAACTTCAATCCTTGCTTCTATTTTTTTTTTGTTTTCTCTCTCTGGGTAGTTCCATTAGCTCAGTTGCGTCATACATTGGAACATCAATATTTCCTTCAAGAGCTGCAACTTCAGTATCTGGATCCATTTCGACTATTGTTTCATCAACTTCCTCGGAAAGGGGTTCTGAAGCCATTTGCCCAACTTCCAGCCCTTCATCCTCACTTTCGTCAAAAATATCGGCCCCCACCCCTTCTACTTCATCGTCATCATCGCTTAAAAATTCGATGTCTGACAACCCATTTTCAATGAGATCCAGCAGCTCTTCGTTAGTCAAAGGCTTTCTTTTATTGAATTTTGAAGCCTTCAATAAAAATACCAAATCAATAAAGAAAATAAAAAAAAAAACAAATATGCTTACCATCTCTAATCGGTCCTTTGAGTCACAATGTATTCATTTGAATACAGCACTTTTCTAAAAATGTTTATGGAGAAATCACAAAAAATACCTATCAAATAAATTTATCAGGTAAAAATGCAATGTTTTTTAACCTTATTCCACAATATATAAAGTCACAGTGATTCACAGAACTTCCTCGATTAGGCAATTAAAAATTACTCTGCAACGTGTCTCCTAAATCACATCTGATCTGACATTTACAAATATTTATAACGTTCGCCATATAATATGTAGATGTCGCTACATGTGCTAAATCAAATATCTATAGGTGTACTATACCATAGAATATTAAGAGATAGATGTACAACTCTTGAGTTTATTTAGGAAAAATAAAAAAGTCGATGTATACAATTGAATACAGTATGACCGAAAGGGTTAAGTTTAAAAAAACTCAAAAACACGCTTTTAGAGCATATCAAACTAAAAAGTTAAAAATATATTTTTTAACACGCTTTTATTCAAATAAGCTTAAAACAATAATCAATGGAAAATACTAGTATTATTGTGAAAAAAGCGTGGGGCGCTTTGTCCATATTTCTCGTACATCGAGCGCCCGACGCTTTTTTCACAATAATACTAGTATTTTCCATTTATTATTGTTTTAAGCTTATATGAATAAAAGCGTGTTAAAAAAATATATTTTTAACTTTTTAGTTTCATATGCTCTAAGCATGTTTTTTAGTTTTTTTAAACAATATTTTTTCTTTTATTTAATTTTCTCTTCTTTCATTAAACTAAGTTCTATTCTAATAAAAAAAAAAGGATGAATATATCCGTGATGTTGATTATTCCCCAATATCTACAGGTGAATTTTCTCATTCAGAGGATTGTAATAGGGAACATAAAAACTATTTTAAATTTTACCTTCAAAACATATGCTGCTTAATAAAAAATTTTGACGAATTAAAAGTTTTTCTCAGCCAAATATTTTTTGAGTATGATTGCATTATACTAACAGAGGCATTTAAAATTTCAGATATTAATTTGTGTTATCTAGAAAATTATGAATAAATTAAATTCTTTTATTTGTACTAGGGACAATGTACAAAGTGTATTGTGTTGTACACGTCAATATCCATAACTAAATATTACATAAAGATAAAGCTAAAAATTAAAATAGATGATGCAAAAATACTAACTGTAAGATGTAGTATTGTTATTAATAATTAATTATTAATGTGCGAGCTAGGTCGCCTTACCAAGTAAGAATGGTGTATTTACCAAAACTAGAGGAAAACCTAGCAAAACCCATAGTGCCATAATTTGCAATTGGTAATTACATCAATCATACTGTTTACCACCACAGAAAATTAATACTGATAGGTAGAAAAAGAAAAACTAAACTACTAAACAGCTAAAAAGGATCCTATCTTATTTCTAATCCTAACTTATTACATGAATTTGAAATATTTAAGATTGTAACATCATCTAGTGAGTATCAATCAAGATATTTCTAATGGTTGACTTAAATCTGCCTACATTTTTAATATTTCTTATATAGCGTGGAAACATTATAAAATTGTATGCATTTAAAATAGCATCCTTTTT